GAGACAGCTCTGGCATTATTTCTGACAGCTCCTGCCTGCTGCCCTCCCTCTTGGAGAGGAGGAAATAGTTAAAGCTCTCAAAATGAGACTGACACAGCAGTTCTTCTGCCTTAAATACACCATGTTTGTTAATTCCTGTTTCCCCTGGCTTTGCTAAAAAGTGGAATGTCAACCCTCAAGGAGGAAGAACTGCCATGAGTCCTTTTGACCCACAGGCTCTCACTTCAAAGCAGTAGGTCTGTGGAGAATGATTTACTTTCAGGATAATGGGGAAGTCAAGGACTTTGTTCACTAACATCTTGAAGACAAGCCTGAATGCCAGGCTTTTCCTCCGTCCCAGATTAAAAGCAAAGTTACCTTTATTAGTGACAGCATTTAATTCATTTCTTGCTTTTAGGCTGTTCTTTGTCATTTGCCTTTATCCTCCTGCAGCCCCAGTGTGGAGGAGATGTTCCTGTGGCTTTAGCTGGGCTGTCAGTGTGCACTGGCACAGGATTTTCCAGCTCTCCTGTGCTATTTTCCTCCAGTGCTCTAAGTTAATAAAGCCCAGCTTCCCTAAGCAGAGAGGGAGGTAATTATCAGTTTTGCTGGGAAATGTCAGTCCCGTTGTTGCTGTGAAAGTCCCCGTTTGCAGCAGCCCCGGGCGGGGGCTCTGGGGCGTGTGCAATAAGGCAGGGTCAGGGTCCCATCCATTTTTAATATTCCTGGTGAACTTTGGACCATCACAAGTGTACGTGAGCCAAGAATGCAGGATGCAAACTAATGTGACTGATAGGCTGCGAGATGAATGGTGATTCAAGTATCAGTGCACAGATGGTTCTGATTTGCTGAGTTTTGTAGCTGCTGCAACTGAAGACATAAAATATCCTTCTAGTCATAAATTAGCTCTTTGGAAGCAAAACCTTGGCACCAGAGCTTTACAACCTTCAATTAGTAGGGAAAGAAGTATTTGAATGACTGTGGTATTGACATCTGTAGGCCTGCATAGTAATCATTCCTAATAGAAGAGAATATCTGTTTGAGGGGGTTTTGCATGGCTAATTAACCACCAGTGAGAATATGTAATTTTTTCATGATCTCCTGATTGTCACCTTTCTCTCATGATACAATTAGATTTTATTGTAGCAAGTGCCTCACAAACCAATTGTCAGCACTATTTACGTATTGTGGAAGGCAGAACAAAAGTTCATGTTTAATGAAAAGGCACTGGGTTTTGATCTTGGTAATTACAGATACTTACTTTAGCACTTTCATTGACTTTTCTGGTTTTAACCCCCCCCTCCCCCTTTTTTTATTTTATTTTTACAAATACCACTAACCAAAAACTGTTTTGGTGATGGGACTTGTGTGGCTGTGATGGTGACCACTGTGCCCTCACTCAGTTGAGAAGTTTTTTTTAAGTTTGCACTGTTTTGTGAACTGACTAGGAGCATCAGGTTAACTGATCTCCAACTGATCCTGCTGGATCTCAGCTTCACAGGAGTCTTTGATTTCTCAGAGCCAGACAATAAATAGTAAATCTATTTCCTTCTTAAGCCTGGTCAAAGACTCGACAGTCTGTGGCATAAAAGATGATCCCAGCCTTGCGGGCTGCAGGAGCTGCTGCAGCACTGGATATTTGCAAGTCACACCCCCCTGGAAATCCCTGGCTGAGGAGTGTCAGTTATCACCATTCCTGTGCTGCAGGATTCAGTGGGATTGGGTTTGATGGCCAGGAATAGGATCAGAGGGAATGCCTGGGTGTTACTAAATCTTGGCATCTGTCAGCACTTTCTCAGGGAAATCTGTAATGCCGAGTGTCTCACTTCTTGGAACAGTGAGAACACCAGGATCACCTGTGTATTACTGCAGCCTGTTCTGACACGAGCCACTTTAAACATTCACTGCAAAACAGCTGCAGAAAGGCAATTTTAGGGTTATTCAAAGGATTTAAGGAGTACTTAAATACAAGTAGAGAGGGCAGGTAACTGAACCCTCTCAAAATGTGTTGCTATTTTCAGAAAATGCAATGTTTCAGTGCTGGATGGCAGGCAGGCTCTTCCCAATGCATCTCTTCATGGCACAGCCTGTAGCGATCCTCAGCCTGACTCATTTCATGTCAGCATTCCCTTTCCCTCTCTACTCCACCAAATGCTTCTCCCATTGAAGAGACAACCTCAGAATGGGGAGCCACTGCAAACAAGGCACTGCCTCCTCACTTGCTGCTTGTGAGCAGGATCTGACTGCAGCTGATGTCTGATTCCTCCTGTACCAGTTTGGTACACAGGAAACGAGGGGATTTGGAGTTAATTCCCTTCTGAAGAGCAGTGAACACCAGGAACAGAGGCTCCTGTAGCCCCTTGATGATGTGAAGAGGATTGCATGGATTTCAGGATATTGCTCCCTGTATAGTATCTGAATCTGATCTTGAGGTGGCATAAGAAGTGTAGCTGTGGCTGTATCTCAATTCTTGGTTCCAATTGCACACCAAGGATAGGTGATAAAATATTATTTGCTTTAATTCTCAAATTTGTTTACCACATTTTTGGCCCTGGATAAATAATTTTCAGCTTCTCCCCCTACAGTGAAAGTGCTGATCTTGGGGCAAAAGGAATGTGGGGTCAAAGTATGTGGAAAGCCAGGTCACTGCTTGCTTAATCTTGTAGAAATCAGACTAAAAAATAATTGCATTAATACCAACTTGTAATTTCATTAGGATGAAATATGGCCATTTTTAGGTGTAAACCCACTTATTTTCATTGTTGGGACTTTAAATGAAAACTTGAAATTTTGCTCTAAGTCCGGTTTGGAAAGTGATTCAGTTGTTTAAGGGTGTATATATTATGATCATTTTTTTTCTGTGTGTAATCTGGGCTTCTTTCCCCTGTACAAAATGCTTACTGTGCACCCCAGGTTCGCCTCCCAAAGCCTCCAGCAAAACCAGCTCAGCAGAAGGGAAAAAAGCCACAAGGTGAAGAGCCTGCCTGTCCAAACAATATGTATGTGGGGGTGACAGGCACACAGCTCCTGGGAGAAGGGAAGCCAAGTACACGGAGCAGGAGGCGTCTCCAGGCAGAGCTGCAGCAGGTGAGGAATTGGGCACAGCAGCAGCACCCAGATCTCCCTGTTCATTAGCTCCACGTTCATCTCTTGGGGTGGGTGAGAAGGAACAGGGCTGGAAAAGAGCCAAGGGCTCTGTCATGAACTCCAGGAGCTGGCAGATGCTTGCTGGCTTCTAGTATTCCAAACAGGAACCTGAGTCTCTGGTAGCCAAGGGCATAAGTGCCAGGAGGGCAGTGCCTGGCCTGCCCCAAACCTGGTGCCTGCAACTCTGAACTTCCTGAATTCCTTTCAGCACACAGAGTTACTGTCTGTACCTCAGCGGGCTCCCTTGGCCAGGCCTTCCCCAAAAGCAGTGCAGCAGGAGGAGGACACGGGGCACAAGGACCACTCCAGCTGCCTGAGCAGGCCCCGCACCCGGGGAACACGCTGGCAGCTCCAGGAGGAAGAGAAGCCGCTTCAATTTTACACTACACGTCAGGAGCCTGAGCACCCAAAAAAGGTGAGGGGTTTGGTGTTACTGTGGAACAGTCACTGTGCTTGAGAAGGAAAGATCAGCTTTTCAAAAAACAAGAGTTCCAAAAACCCCTCAAAGCCTCAACTACGTGTATGCAAACTCTGTTTGCCACGAACACTGAAGGTCTGTAGGTGATTGCCTGTATGTACTACTGGCCAGCATTATGTACCACTGCAGTTTGTGTAGCTGCAAAGCCAGACTGTAATTTCCCAACTCTTGTCTCCCTTTGTGCACCCTGTTGTTTGCTTGGTAGAGACTTGGTAGAGTTCAGCAGTTTCCTTCTCTGTGTAGTGGAAAACTTCATAGTGCTCGTTATTTAAGTTCTGAGTTTTACATGAGAGGATTTTAGCAGTTAACAAACTCATCTTGAATATTATTGTTAATTTAGTGCATAAAAGGGCTGAATTAATAGTTTTAGTCTTACTCTACAATTGTACAGGAAAAAAATTGAACAAACAAATCAGTTTTAGTACAAATAAAACAGCACCATGTCCATCTGTGATCACCCTGTGCTCCTGTTCTCTGGAGCTCTGGTATATTTTAGTGAGGAGATTCCACCCTGGTTTTCTTTCCTATAAACAAATAACTTGGTTAAATGAGGACAGTTTCTAATGAGCACAAAAATGCAACTTTAAAGGTAGCTTTATGATTAATCCAAAATTCTTTGCTTCAAGCAGTCTGACCAGCACTGCCTGGAGACTCCGGTACAAGCTGGGAGAGGGAAGCAGCAAAAGCACAGCTGTACCTGAGAGCACCAGGCAGGACAGTGGTGAGCAGAACCATCCTGGGAAATTTTGGCTGCCAGAAGGGGAGATGGAGTCTGACACATCAAACACAACTTTGGAATAGGAAAACATTCCACTGTTACTTCCAAGTCCTCATATGTAAAGTTTTTGCAGAAAAGGGACTAATCACTGGGCTGGTGGTTAGATTATATTTGTGTTTGGATTTAGTATTCCTAATGGAAAAGCTGCTATTCCAATAGGATTAAACATGCTGTTTCTGTGTAGAACCATTCTGTGGTACTCACTGAATATTCTGTGTAATAGGGGGAACTTTAAATAGGTGTCAGGTAACATTTAAGCCATTCAAATGAGAAAGTGGAGAAGGAAAAAAGGCAGGAGTCTCTTTGCTTCATTTTACAGAATTCCTCTCACTTCTCTCACGTAATTCAGGAGCTTGATAATGGAAAGCTCTGTAGGAAACCAAAGCTGTCCCTGGCACTGAGGGACAGTGGAAAAGAGAATCAAGCCTTTGGCTAAGTGAGAAGTGGGATTGTGGCATTGGGGATTCCTTTCAGAGGTGGAGGCTGGCCAAGGACAGCACTGCTGCCGGAGATGTAGAACAGCCCCACTCCACCAGTTTATGGTTCCTTGTGATGGGCAGAAGTTCAGCTTCACTGTGAAATGCAAAACTTACACAAATCAAACCAGCACATTCACACTTAAAATCATATCTTGAACTTTTATCTTGAAGATAAATCTTTATTAGCAGGAACACTAATGAATATATTAAATGTTTTTGAAAACAAGTCAAAGACAGAGAAAAATTTCAGCTGTGGACTTCAATAGCAAATGTAGATATGTCTCTTTAGGAGATGTTTAGCTGTGCCTCACGTTACACACTTACCATACAATATCCATACAAGCGCATATTCCAGAGGTAAGGCTCTGTAAGAATTGTAATGCTTTCTCTAGGATAACTTACATACCTCAATGGCATCTCTGGTTTTTTGATTCACATCTCACTTCATATTAGCTTTATAATCACAGATTTTTTTCCCCTGCAGGAAGACACTGCAAGAGAACTGCCACCATTTGACCCCTACAGAATACTCTCAGAATTCCGAAAGAAACACAATCACCTTGTAACTCCAGTTCCTGCAGCAGCATCCCAGGCTGGTGCTGACAGCACTCGTTCCTCTCTCTCTGCTGTGTTCAGGCTGGCATTTGCTGATGAAACCTACCCCTACACTACAGCTGTTCTGGTGCTTCTGCTGCTCATTGTCCTGTCCTTGTTTCTGCTTTGATGTTGCTGTTCCTGTGTCTTCAGTGGGAGTGCAGTGCTGCTCCCACCACACAGTTTTTTCCTAGAGTTTCTTCATTGAAGATTTCAGTGTCAGGGGCTTGAAAAAGAAGTTTTTAAATAATCTTGTCAGTACATGCCTTGTACAAGCAAGTTCTCATCTGCACTCAATAGTTATGGATTGTCTGAACTATTTGTGCTGGTTTCTGTTATAAATTTTTTGGATTTTTTTTATTGTTTTTGACTGAACCTTTTGTTACAGAATTAAAAGTACCATTAAATACAGTGGAGTGTAGACCTTAATTACTCTGGCATTAGTGTGGGGATGTCTTTATACTATGTCAAAAAACCTTTAGTTAAACACCGACACATTTGCCTTTTCCACTCTAATTCACTCCTACTCCTTGGATTTCCTTACCTTATTACAATAGGGACATTCACCAAAGATGACATTAAAACTCTGCCTGCTGGTGGGAAGGCCTTGTAGCCACTGCAACACAAGAAGTGGGTTAAAAGTCACATTGGTTTCATCTCCAGTTGAAGAAATGTCTATTAATTACCAGAGTTCAGCTGATGAACATCTGACAGTGCACATGCAAAGTCAGACGGCGGTTCCCTCTCCCAGACAGCTCCTGTAGGAATTGGGGGTGGCAGGACAAGTGACTGCCATGTGCCTTATGGGCTCTTGCTTACTGCAGAATTTAAGTGGACAGTGCTTGATGTGCAGAATGTGCCAGCTAACGAGCAGTTTGTGCCATTGGTCACGTCACCTCATAGAGACAGGCCTGGTGGAAGGGCTGCCCACAGCGAGGATCGTCACACACTTGGTCGGGCGCGCTGCCGTCCAGCCGGTAGGCGTAGCAGATCCCACAGTCCTTGGCAAAGTCCTGGAACACAACAGCACAGCTGAAAGGAAGGGGTGGGCTGCTAGCACACAAACAGCTTCACCTGTGGTTTGATTTTGCACTTTTTGTTGGCTGGAATTATTATTTTCTGCCTTCAAGACACATGTTTATGTCACAATGGTGCAGTGACACTGGGTTCCAGGTGTGCAGGACTCAACAGGGTTATATTTCATGCCCTTACTGAATTATATCTCATTTAACAAGCATTTTCATACTTTTGGGCACTTTTTGTCTATTAACCACTATGATTTGTCATTATGATTCGACATTAGACACAAACCTTCAGTCAGATCTTAATTTAGAAGATTCATGAGTGAAAGCGAAGCTCGTAATCCAAGTGTTAAAGCATTTTCAAAAATTAATTCCCAGTTTGTTTGAAATGCACCAGTATTTGGATGGCCTCTTGTCCCCTCTAAGCAGCTCCACCTAATTAGAACTGAAGTTATCAACATCCATAACAGAATGTTTGGATTTTCTACATCTCATTAGCCACGCTGGAACTTCCTCTTTTCCTTTTAATAGCAGAGCCTGATATTAATGGCCTAACTGCTATGGAGGCCACAGGGAAGTGTGCACCTCTAATCAAAGGTTAACAAGCTCTGACAACTGTTGCTTGAAGTCCAGAGGTACTTTGACAATGTATTAATCCAATTACCTCTCAAAAGCCCCTGATTGTCCCTGGCTCTTAGAAAGTGACCATTTAAATGTGACTTACTCAGCAGTAAGGACTGATCGTTAACCAAAACCAACTTACGCTTTTTTCCAACATGGCACGAGATGGAAAATCAATTTCCAGGAGCTCTCTTAAGTTTTGTAACAAGCTGATTTCCGGATCCCTGCAGGTGGGAGAGGGGGAGAGAAAAATCCACACGAGGAATGGCAAACACCATTTGGGTTTCCAGCCTGCTTTATCAGAGACACTCACCACAAGTGCATGTTGTTGTTGAGTTTTTCTCTCAGAGGGTTCACTTCTGCAAACAACAGACAGGAATAATGGCATCACCCCAGTGAAGCTCCCAGGTCTCAGGTAGGGATTGGATCAGACTGAGTCCAGAGTAGAAACAAGTAGAATTTGCTGCCTTACCGTGGTCTGCTCCAAGGAAATAACACTCTGGAAGCATGTTTGGATGGCGAGGATCTACCTCTACATTCACTGAGACATTGTTCCCTGCAAAGAGAAAGAGAGGCCATGAGGAAGTTTTGCAGTCAAGGATTTGAAAAAGGAACAATTTTTAAAAGCAGGCTTAAATTTGTTAACTGAGGCTGGTTTTCATTAGGATAAATAATAACAAAGCTGGGAGGTATCCATATGATTGTACAAAATATCAGTATACATCAAATATTTACATTTCCACAAACTGTAATTAAAAATAGCAACTGATTAAAAAAACTTGCCAGGCTTGTGTTTCTTTTAGACTTGGCTTAACCTTCACACTTATTCAGAAATAAATGTCATCAACCCAACCTAGATGACAATATCCATTCAAAATCTTGTTGAAACTTTAAAGGTAGAGACATGTAACTTACTAATTCATTTTTATCTTTCGTAGTCAAAAAGAGAAGCCCTACCCCAATACTAAGCAGCAGAAGTCATTCCCCTCCCCAGCAAACTCCAGGACTGAGACAACAATGCTGTATATTTGAAACAGCAAATATTTGGCTTTACAAGACACCCCATCATCCCTGGAAGGGCTCTGTTCCTCACAGGGAAGCAGCTCAGTGCGGCTCTGGATCCAGCTCCAAAACATCACAGCAGAGTCTCTTCTGAACAAGCCCAGGTGAAACCCAACCCTTTCTGTAATTAAAGCTGTGCTAGGCTTTCCATCCTGGAAGAGGTGGGAATGAATGAACTCAAAATTCAGTGGTAGCTGAAGGTTCTCTGACAACAATGGCTGAAAGCCTCATCCTTCCTCTGCTCGGCTGCTCCGGGGCATTTTTGAGGCTTTTCTTTCCTTTTCCTTGGCCTGTGGCAAAGGGCAGCAGGAGCAGGACAAAGCCCCCCTGCCTGCACACAAAGTGCTGTGTGACCCACGTCGTTCCAGCCACTTGCTGCACTTTTCCTGTCCTTCCCTGCACTCCCTTGAAGCAGCTCCCCTCCAGCTCCCGCCTCTCTCCCTCCACAGCTGTCAGGGACAACGTGGCTCCACTCTGTATTCTCACATTTCTACAATGTGCTGTTGGAAAACTGGCACCTTTTGGGCAAAGTTAACATCCCCCCAACATTTCCAGCCTCTGACTGCTGCAATTACAACTCCTTATCTTACATATATAGTTATAAAATTCCTTATCCTGTGTATATTAAGACCTTAAAATCAGCATATAAACTGAGGGACATTTACAGGTGGTTAAGAGGGAAGTGTCATTTTCCCTCTTTTATTTCTTTGTCCTTTCCCCTTGCCTCCTTTAACCCCCTTTTTCCCCTTGGGCTGCACTCTAATACTCCTTCCACTCCAGGATAGGATCAATCTAAAGTTTAAAAATCAGGAATTTGTGATTGAGGTAAGGGCTTCACCTAAGCTGATTTTTAACAAATACTTATTTTACTATGCAAGAGCTCAGCTGATGACAGTTCCATGTTCATAATTTACAAATACACAAGGTTTTCCTGCAGAAATTTTCATTTTTCTGACACCAGAAAGTTGTGATGAATTTCCTAAACAGGATCAGCATTCTGTTATGGAAAGTTATTTTTTTTACATGTAAAAGAGGAATTCTGTCTTTGGTTTTAAGTGCTGCCTTTCCTTTCCCAAACCCAAAGAAGTACTATCTGATGAGACAAGCAAAACAAAACAGCTCCCTGAGTTTTATTTCTCAAATCCACTGTATCCCTTTAAATCTTTTCCTACCTATTGCAATTCTTCTGGTTGTAGCACTCCGTGTGGGATTTTCTGGCTCAAGCACCCATGTCTTCCCATCGATTTCATCCAGGGCATCCCAGAATTCCTTCAGGGACTCCAATGCTGCCAGGAACTGATTGTAAATGTCTATTAAGGAGTTCTAAGAAAACAAGAAATTTAAACAGATTTCACTGAGTTTCCACCAGTGGGCTGAGAATATTTAAAAACCAATTTATTATTTTAAGGAGTGTTGAAATACACGTGTGTGTCCCAGTGTACCACGATAGCATAAAACATGGAATATCACCTAACAAGCTCATCATTATCTCCAAATTAAGCAGTATAAAAGCATCAGCTCAAGATCAGCTTTCAAACTCTGTAAATAAGGCACGAGAAGGAGAAGCCATCTAATAGCAGAGGATTACACATGGGGGATTTCAATATTTGAGAGTGGATTACACAGAATCAGAAGCATCTTTCATTAGGACAGCGATGCAAAAGAAATCGTTTGAAGTCATCAGTGGACAAAAAGAAGTCACCATTTCCCCAGGAAAAGATTCTGCAAGAGGAGAAAACCCTAGGTGGTCAAGTGAACCCTTTGCAGGTGCAGATGCCCAGAGAGGGACAGATCCCAGATACCTTGAGGTTCAAAGGAAAAAGCAAATTAAACGTTCTGTTCTCAGACAGGTACTTTTCTATGAATTAAACAAAATACAGAAGGAATGTTTTCCTTTAATCTTTAGTGATTATATTCTTCCTTTCTCACCTGGACAAAGAGCAGCAAATTATCCAAGTGTTCTCAGATGAAGAAATAGAATTTTTCTATGTAATAACTTTCCCTATTTTGTGCATGCGTATTTTAGAAAGAAACGGAGTAGCTTGGAAATAAAATGCTACATCTTTTCCTGCTGTTGTTAAATTACATTAAAGTAGGAAAGCACCTAAGCAGAGAAGTGTGAATTCTGCCAATCTCAAAATGTAACGCTTATTATCTTTAAAAGCATTTTGTTACTTTTATTATACCTGAAGTGATATAATAGTGTCAGTCACTTAACCACATCTTAGAGTATAGTATCTTCATCTTAAGTACTATTATTTCCAGTATTTTAATAATTTTCACACAGTCCTGAAATGTGATCTTTTGTGCTCTGATGACACTTAAATTAATAGCATAATTTTCTGGTACTTGCAACAGTTGCTTTCCATTTTGATTTTTTTACATTTTTCTATATCACATACAGATAAATCCTCTAATAATCATTTTTATCTTTATCTTCTGGGAATTCAAAGGGTTTCACTAGAAAAAAGAAACATCAAGGGATTATAACCCACAGATAAGTTTTAAAATCCAATTAATTTTAATACTAATTGTAATTTTTCAATGATGTTCCTTAAAAAGGTAGTTAAATCTTTTTTTTCCTACCCTGTTCATTTGATCTTATTTGCATGCTTCACTGATGTTGCCAGCTGTCTCCTGCTATATACATAAATGCATCTATAGCTATTTAAATACATCACCTGCTTGTCATGCAAACCGTGAAAACTCCAAGATTCCTTTTTATTTGATTAACCAACTAATTTTTGGTGACTGCCCTGCACTTTTAGAACAGCCTGAGATCACACTTTGGTCTAAATTACACCAAGACCATTGTTAATAATATCAAACAGCACAAACTCTGTTTCATGGTCCCCCTTGTACAAATGAATTGGAATTTGTGTGAAATGTGTCAAAATTTTCTGGAAAATAAGACATCATTCAGACTGTCACTGCTGCTCACCCTGGCTGTAAAAGCACTCACAAAGCCCAGCTGGTTCCTCCATCCTCGCACACACTGGCTTTGGTGGGTCCCAGAAAGTGTCACCCCAATGTCACCTCTGTGTTATCAGACTCCATGGATCCCACATCCATTTCCACCACCGACTTTGTCCAGGGAAAATCAGATACTTTGGGGTCAGATTATTCTGGACCTCCCTGTCTTGGAGGGGAACACTTCTCTGTTACCAGGAAAGTATTGTGTGATTGCTCAGCCTTTTTATTTCCATTTCAAACCCCTGCACTCTCATCTCCACCTCATCACCAGGATCTCCTCATGCCAATTCCTTTCTTCCTTCAATTCAAACATTCTCCCAAGTCCACCCTTGTTGCCCTTACACCATTTCTTCCAATCAAAGGAATAAGAAGGAATAGGAAAAAAATCTACTCTAATCACTCTACTCTTGGTTCTTATTTCTAGAGCCACAGAGGCTGGGAAGAATAAAGAGAAAAATCTCGAGTCTGTGCCTGCCAAAAAACCAATGAAGCCTTTCAGTAGTTTCTAAGAAGTGCTGTAACCTATATGGCTGTTCTGCCAAATTTCAAGCATCTGCTCCAAATCCTGGATGAACTAAATAGTAATCAAATGATAGTAAAAAAAGTTTTAATTAAAGTAAATCCAGAACAATTGATTGCAAATTATTTTTGAGATTTTTTTGGCTAAAATTCTTCCTAACACAAAATTTGTTTATCCAAAATTAAAACAACTGCAAAGCCCCCTAAGAGGAAAGGTGAAATAGCCTAAACTATAGGTGCCATTACCTTCTTGACCCTCATGAATTCCTAAATAAAATACAATTTAATAAAGCAAACAGTCATTAAATGGAAAAGGGATCACCTAAAGAATTTATGATTCCTTAGATTTGTTTGGAAACAGTTTCTCATCAGCAGTAGTTTAACAATTTCCCCTCTCCTTAACAGAAATCAAGCCAAGACACAAACCTGAAATCTTTATAAAAAAGTGTCTTGTCAACAATCTCCATTTACAGCTGGTGCCTGTGAAGTTCCTTTGCCAAGAAAAAGCACAATTATGATGTTTTTTATTGTGTTTTCATCTAAATAACCCAAGAATAATCTCATCCTCACCACTCCACCTTCTGCACCTTGCATTCCCGTTTCCTTGCCGGCTGCTGCATGACCTCATTAGTCATTAATTTCCACTCCCATGACCTTCATGTAGCCAGCCAGGTGGGCAGTGGTCAGTCTGGAAACCTTGCCCTGACGTTAGACACCCTGATTCTGCAGAACTGCACTTCCAGCGTGTGCTAAAATTGGAGACAGCACATTTATCTGGTTCTTTAGAAAAAGGCTATAACAGAAATAAGTGGATGTTCTTGCACTTGTCATTGAGAAGCACTCTGCATTTATTTGGCACTTAGAACAGGAGCAGCAGCAGCAGCATTGCCCTTGGTGCTGATTTCTTACTACTCTAAAACGTCTCCTCTGAGCCAGAATCCACTGGCTGTTGCTGCTCATGCTGTGAGACACCTGCACTGGCTACTGGGCTTGTCATGACGCACAAAACCCCACCATCTTCAGCTTGACATTGTGCAAGTTATAATTATTCATCCAAATGAATATGTCAGAGCAGCAGCAGCAGACCTCTCATCAGAGCAAAAGAAAAATACATCAAAACATTATCAACCCAGCAGGAAGACAGGGACCATAAGGAAAATTACCCATTTTTAATATGGATGCCATAAAGCCATGTCTATTATTATACGGAAGGGAAAAAAAAAAGAAGGAAAAAAACCTCAACAACCCCTCAAGTTTAAAATCCATGAGCCTGAAATAGGCAGCAGCACACACAGGGGGTGGGAAAGAAAAATCAATTACCTGCAATCTATTTATATTTTCTTTCATAGGAGTTTATATTCTAATGGTGCCATTGCACCAATTTAGTTAAGCCCCGTCAATTTATACTTTTAAGGCGTAATATTAAAAGTTTAAGACCAATTAGTACCAAAACACCATGTTATTTCACTGGAGAAGAGGTACAGCCTGTTCTTTTTCCCTTTTAGGAACCAAAATTTTCATGCACTTGAGTACCTGCTGAATTCTGCTACCAGTGGTGTTGCAGCATTATCTAAGCTTAACCCATATTTTATCACCGTGTGAGGGCTGCTCGCCGCAGTGATTCCCACACATTTGGAAAATAAACACAATTTACACAATTACCAAAGCCATTTGTCCCCACAAGTGTTGGGTTCATGTCACCCACACACATAAGGTCAATTTGCAAAAGCTGCTGTACAGCTGAAGCATTTCTGTCTGCTGGTATTTGGTTCAGGATTAGAGCAGGCTCTGCAGCTGGAATTAGTGTCGTGTCTCATGATTTCAAAACAGGCTCTTCACTTACACACAAACACCTTTTGTTCATGTTTTCAAATAGTCCCCAGGTAATTCTAACTGTAAAAAGATTTTAAGCATCACAGTGTTGTATTTTTAACAGAGAATTTTTCCTTGGCTGTAGTGCCAGTATCAGTATATCCACCCCCATTTTTAACTTGTCAAAGGCTGCTCCATGTCAGGCTTTTCCAGAACATTTTATTAAAACACGAGTCCATCTTTAAAATTACTAATAGTAAACACAGAGAAGCAGTCACTGTCAGGGATGTTTGAAATGTTGTTAATTTGAGGCAACATAAATTGCAAGGCTGTAAAATTAATAAAGCACTGTTGAAAGTATGTATTGAGGCTAAAAAAAGCTCTTGAAATTGTGGCCAGAGTGTAGGGACTCCAGTAAAACTTAAGGGGAAAACATTTATTTAAACTGTTCCAAACCATACCAGAGAATCAAAACATAAAATTACATAAATAAATATATTTTTCATTTGCAGTGGTTGATTCTTGTAGTTATTTCCTCTCAATATTAGTGGGTCTGAGGTGACACACAGAACCTTGAGCTCTGCAGAAAAATTACATTAAATTTAATGGTTTAAACTCACCCTGCTGCAATCTCCCAGCCATGTTCCCTATGAAAGTTGTTATTTATTGCTGGGTAGAAACCCTTGTGAGAATTAGAATTATCAGATGCAATCACTTATATAAAATCTATTTTCCTGATTAAAGTGAAATTAAATATCAATTATTTTCTACATATAGTTCAAATCAACTTGTATCTGAGTGGTCACATTTAAATCCATTTCACCAAGCACACATGCTCTACTCAGGAAGAAAGCTACATGAAATAATGTGAGAGACCCACAAAAACAATGTGGTTCTTTATAACAGCAATATCAGTTAAACTGTGAAATCAGAATTTAATTAAATACCTTCCTATATAGATTATAACCAGAAAAGTTTTATTAAGTTATGAAAACTCTGTAGGATAACAAACTGGGGAAAACTCTATAGAATAATCAACATCCTTTTTTCAATGTCTGTCAACTTTAGAGGGTGTTTCTTTTCTAGAAGACAATAATTTTTTCTAAATTTCACTTCCTTTCTACTTTCCCACCACAATTCCTAGAGAATTTTCACTCCCATGAACAGCTTAAAAAAACCCCACCAACCAGTACATACAACATGCAAGATATATTTCATGGCAAGGAAGATATTTAAGGTGCTATGATAAGGACTATGGAGTTGAGTGCTATTACATTTTCATGAGCATGTACAGAAATAAAATGCACACAGGGAGAACAGCTGGAGTTAAAAACCAAACCCAACCCCTTGTCACCACCCTGCCATGGCATATGTATTTTTTATTAAAAAAAGCTGCCTAGTCCAGTAGTTACCTGTGGCATCCAGGAAACAGCAAATGGAACAGGAAAATCCACAAGGCAATCTGGTGGTTCTGTAGGATACTGAGGGAGGGAAATAAAATACAGTTTGGGATATTATTTTAATTAGCGATTTAAAGTCAGACTGATACTCAGCTGCCAAATTTGATAACAAAATATGAGCATTTAAAGGATTTTGAGAACTTGGCTCTGAGAGGAAACAGTCTGTAAAGCATTTTCAGCAATACTTATGAATGTTAATTATCATTTAAAGAAGAAAGCTACATGTAAATGTTTCATATATCAGTATTTAGTAAAGGCAGCAGAATCACAATTTTCCGTGTTCAGTGGTCACAAAGGCACATTAAAGAAACCTTAAGACACAAAGCATGAAATATTTTTTACAAATTTCTCCTCAATTACCCATACTGGATAGCAAAATTTAAAAATCAAACAGAAAATTAGTCAGTAACTAATTTTCATTTAAGCTAAACTATTTGTTCTGATTGGCAATGTTTTGTTTTTTAAAACTGAAAGTAATCTAGAGTACTTAACTATTTAGAAAGAGACAAGTGAACATAGAACCAAAATTAAAACAAACCCTCAATCCAAATTAAGATATAACAATAAGAAAAAATTTTAAAAGGCTGTATTAAAAAAAAAAAAACAGCCATAAAAGGTTTGATAACACCTTATCTTATTACAGATACAATCACATGTGTGTGTCAGAAATCATCCTATCATTCCTTAGGACAATTTAAACAATTATTAAATACAACATTTATATTGGTTTTCTGAGCATGCAGCTAACTTTATCTAGAGAAATCATTTTCATACCCTTTGCCAGATCATTCAGATAATTACCAAAGTGTCTTAATTACTACACAACAGGCAAATCCTTGCAGTGGCCTATTTGAAGCCTTGGGGTCTGAAATGCTCCTACACTGATCTTAACCAAAGCAACAGCATAACAAAAATATACACACTTTTATTAAAGTATGTTATCAAAAGAAATGCCATCCCAAAAAATACTTCAGCCAAATCTTCTCAAATGTAGTGTCTGTGTGTATGAAGGCAAATCAAATCCCCATGTCACCAAAACAATGTTTCACACACAAATTTTGTCTGGCAAGTTTAAATGCCAGACATGGTTTCAAAAGGACAAGTAATTGATACTTCATCATCCAAAACACTTGAAAACAAAATGAAAAAAAAAAAAAGAAGAAAGAAAGAAAAAAGATGATTACTTATTAAAACAGACAAGTCTGATAATCTAATCTTTTTATTACATACACCTTTAGTTTTTGGATGGTGCTTTCTTCTGCTATGAGGAATATTCAGCTATTTTATTATGATCAAAAACCCCACAAGTTTGTACAAGGACAGAAAATGAGAACCTCCATTCCCTCAGCACAGTGCTAAGTTAAGGCTGAACAGAACCAGTCAATGCACGAGTGTCAGTGTTTGACCATGGGAAAAATGAATATTGCCCTGTGAGTTTTTCTGCATTTTTATACTTTCAATCAGGAAAAATACTTTACTTCTGTTGTCCTAAGAGCAAGAAAGCCTTAGGGCAACAGGCTGCACCTAATTTCTAGTGTCACACAAAGCGTATTTATCCCTTATAAACAACACAACCTGGTTCTTCTCCTTGCCCATCAGTGTATTTAATAATGGACTGACTAGCAAATTAATTATGCACTCATTACTCTCTGCATGTAGAACTGTTTTACTCTTTTTAAAAATCCACTTGAGCAACACTCATTCCCAAATGGTATTTTTTCCCTTCCTTTTCCCCTTCAAAGGGGAAGCTTGTTCATGTTATGTAAGACTAAAAAATTCCTGGTTTCTAGAAGAATAGGATGCCTGTGAAGGTGGGGTTTAATCCTACAATACTGTGCCCCTTCCTCATGCTTTCAAGATTATAACTCAAGATGATGGGCCATAGATAGTCCCAAACAACAACACCCAGACACTTCTAGATCTCTTTTTGCCCTGGACTGATTTTCTGAAGACAACAGTTATTGCCAAGCAATTGTCATCACACAGCCTGGATATTCACAGTCTCTGATGAGAGATTTATGCCTTGAAATGAGACATTCTATAAAGAAACGTTGTAATTTGAGTTCAGTGATAAGTACCAGGAAGAATTAAAATTGTTCTCTTTCTGCAAATGCCATGGGTTTGATTTGCAAGTACTGTCAAAATGAGACATTTATTTAGACTAAAAAGAAATAATTTTTCTATCTGACTTCAGTTTTTCATAAATCTTTACGTCTCTGACTTTAACAGCAAGACTTGTTAATAACCAACCCAACATCTTCTAATTCTTGTTCTATGCACAGTCTCTGGATGGAGTGATAATGAAGGAATGTCTCCCAGATGGCTTTGTCTGCAATCCAGTAAAATTAGTGCAATATCAAAGTGTTTTTCATGTGATGCACTATTGCATCTTACAGATAACCATAATCCAATATTAATTTTAAATATAGTTAGTATGAAAACCCTCAAATAAGGAAAATATAACTGACCTATTACCTTGCAGAACAGACACACCAGCAAACAAACCAATCCTCTAAAATCCTAATGAATTAAGAAAAATCGATTTATTTCAAGGAAGCCTCAAGGTATTTTGTCCCACATCAATTTACCTTTGCATTTAACTTGAGAGTGATGAGATGCTGTCGACCACAAGAGTCTTCAGCTTTTAACTTGACTGTGGTCAGCCCAGTGTCCACATAGGCCACTCTGGAAGAGAGAAGAAAACTCTCAGAGGCCTGCAAGAAGTGCAGTTTGAAAGGTCTGCAATACTCCGATTAGTCTGTTACAAATATTAATCAGAGGGAGTCCTATATGCCAAGCATTTCTGCTGCTGCAGATTTACTGCTGTTAATACACCAGCCTAGTGCTTAATGCAGTCATATATCTCTGGGTTATTTACAGCGTGTGTCAGGGCTCACGCTGTGGTCAGTGAGCACCGTGTTTCAGTTTTCCATCACCGGAACCTTTGACACACACAGCATGTTCCTGTCAGCCTCTACTTATGTACACATTAAACTTCCTGTCAAATCTTTGATCCATTTCTGCAGTTTCTTACTCTATGAGACTTTTATGCTCTTGATTTGCTTTTCTCTTCAATGAAGTTCTCTTTTATTATCAATACTATTATTGTGGGAAATTCAGTGCATATTGGTTCATATTCTGAAATCGATTTTCTGCAGAAAAGAGTACCCAAGCAGGTACAAAATGAGTTATTTATGATGATTTGCCTTCATTTCATGACAGTTTTACACTGTATTCATGCACCCTAGCAAGAAGAAAGTACATACTAAATGTGAATGAGTTTTAAAACTTCTGAATCTTTGCTTAAGATGTAACTGGTTTGTGCCTCCCACCACACTGAAGATGGATACAATTGTAAAATGTATTGTTCTCTAAAGGTGGATTCTGCTTTAGTAGCTTCAACAACTGCCAAAAAGGTTCAGACCTCTCCATATATTTACCAGTAAACTGGGCATGTGGATATTTTGGCATTTTTACTATCTCATTCCTGTGTAAAGATAAAAAGCAGTCCAAGATAATTGCACAACTTATCACCCAGACTGATGGAAAGGTGTAACAGAGTTCAGAGGGATCATCTGCTTGCAGGCCTAAGCAACATTTATTTTTTTAAACCGCTACATACTAGAAAAAGTCACACGGTTCTCTCAAATGAAACTGGCAATGGAGTTGTAGAGGCTTGTGGAAGAAAAGGTAGATGTACACTAAAGGGTTGCACATCCCTAGGAAGGAAGTGGAAAGAAGAAAATTATCTGCATAAATGAAATAGCCTCAATAGGAGGAAACTGAAAGATACAGATGGAAAAAGCAGTAGTGGTGGTAAGAAGGGAGAGAGAGATTATTTCATGTTTAAGGCTGATTAATGCAATATTAAAGAGACCTGCAGATTTCTGGGAGTATCTCTCCACAGCAGCTGAAAGAAAGACAAGTCTTGATAAAAGTGTCATTCAACTGGAACCAGTTAAACTTATATACTTGATATACTTAGAAAGAATTAGAGGATTCTTTCTCTAACTGGGGGAGAAAAATCATTAATCCTGCTTCATTCCAACTTTACCTCAAAAGTGTATCAGTTTTATAAAGATGAGAAACTACCTCTATACCACCCCTCCATCTACTGCTTCCTGGGCTGGGGAATTCCTGAAGCAGCAGCTAAGGCCTAGCACAGATACTACAGTGAAAAATGCAGCAGTGTCCACGCCAAAGCACAGCTGGAGCCTGCAGCACTCTGCTGCAAAGATCCACAGCAAAGGAAAACAGAAAAATTAAAGGTGTATGGGATTTTACCTGTTCTGACATTCATCTTGGTTGGACCACTTCAATCTTGATTTATAAGAAAAGTCTGGATTCTTTCAGTTTAAAGTCACACTTTTTGTATAAACACATACAGAATTGTGTACATAGGTGATATTTCACTTAGACTTTTATACCTCTCTAGGCTCCATTGCTTTATCACAGGGAAAAAAAAAAGAGAAAAATACAAAAAAAGGAATAAAAGAAATCAGCATAAAGATGGAAAGCCTCAGGTAAATCTCTGAAATCCAGCATGACAGATGAATGACTGAGAGCACAGGACCTGACAGGATTCCCTGGAAATGGAGAAGGCAAGAGGAGAAGATATTTCGTATGAAATAAATGGCGAAGTATCAAGCAGAAGAGCTTTGAGATTTGAGACAACATGGACTTAAGAGATATTGGCAACCTTTATGAACCCCCATGAGGGTGATAAAAGTCCTAAAGGTGTTTTATAGTTGATAATTTGCCTTCCCAGGACACTGTCACTGACTCAACCAACTTCATTAAGGAGAAGTGTTAGAAGAGCCAATGACTTCAAATTTTTCAGGTGGATTTGGGTGCAGTCAGCTTTCGGCATGACCCAAAACTTGCTAGGAATGAGTAAATCTGGGGTACACAACAAGCAAGGGTTTTTTCTAAAAAAAATATCCTTAACTAAAGCTCAAGGTGTGAGCAGTGATTGCTCCTCACTGCCAGTACCAAACACAGGCAGTTCTGCTGAAAGATCATTGCAGGATGTTCTTTAACTGCCAAGCAAATAAAGCATCACTTACAACTTACACAATCAGTCTCAGTTAAGAGGCTCTCTTAGAGAGTCACTTTAGTGTTAAAAGCACTCTGAAATCAAAGGTGGACTTGCTAATGGACTTCACATTGCCTGTCCAGGTTATTCTCCTTCCAAGTTGGAGTAAACCCGATGTGATGCCCCATGTGCAGCATAGTCCTTTGATTAATCACTGACTTCCCCAACCTTTCTTCAAGATTTTGGTTTTTTGGGGGTTTTTTGTTTGTTTGTTTTTTGGTTGGTGTTTTTGGTTTTCATCCATTTTGGGAGAGCAAACATAACTGAAAATTTATTTCCCACGTTTAAGAATTTTTACCTCATATTCTCAGATTTGAGCCTGTGAAATTTAAATAGAGTATGGCACAATTACATATTAACAACTGCAATCACTGAGACAAACTTCAGATGATTTCACAAGGGTGTTTTAAATCCTTAAATAAAAGTGGGCCCTCAAAGCAAATTCCCACTTCATGTTAATCACATCTTGTTTATCTGTATAGAAATCAGATGGGAAAACTCAAAACTGTTCTTACAACTAAGGCTTCTTTATTTAATTTAGCACAATATACACTTGTTAAAATTTTGGGTTGAGTTTTTCACATTCTCCCTTCCACTCATGAACTTTTTGGGTAGATTTACCTTTCTGGGGAATAAATAATAAATTCCTCTAAGAAGATGGTTGTGCTCTAAAGAACAGGTTCTTAAAAAGTTATTATTTTAATCCTAAAAAACATATGAAATGTTTTTATTAAAACATAAAGGTACATGACATAATCTATAGCAATAGTCACAATCACCTGTACAAAATAGGGAAAGAGAGAACTACTAATATTAACATTAAATATGTTTAATATTCCAGTAGTTTATAGGTCAAAGAAGAAGTGATTTCTTAATAGTGTATCACCTTTCAGCTCAGTTATTTGAGACAGAAAATATCCCTTCAGTTGATACAGGTTTGTTGTGTGTTTCTAATTTAAAAACAAAGCAAAAACAGTTTCTGAATAGGGTAAATGAACAGAACAAGCACATCTGATATGTTCAACTCACAAATACAGAAAAGGAACAGATTTCTAAAGATGATGTTTGTTAAGAACTGAAATAATCATACCTATTCCAGCCCAGTATTTCTAGATCTCTGACAAGACAGGAGTAGTATTCTGGAGGCCGTGGGATGTGCAGGTCTTGTGTGTTTTTTAAAGCAATTTCCTGTTTAAAAGAACATTAAAAACATCGTTAAGGGCAATTTCAATATTTTTGCATCTATTTAGCCATGTGATTTTTGCAATTCATTCGGAAATATTAAGCTTATGTAAAATTAACTGTACACTGCATTTGTTTTGTTATAGCCTCCAGCTAAAGCAGACAAAGAAGCTGTTTGGTAAATTACTTCAGATACTGGTAATGAAAACATCTGCAATTTAAAAAAAACCCCACAGATGTTGACAACGGAGTCTTCAGATGCAAATATCAAATGTGCCTCTTTTTCAGCTAATAAATTTGAAGTCAAGCATCTTGACTGAAAGAACATTTCAAAAGAAGGTTCTATTAAGCCCACAGCTGTCTCCTGGGCTCCACTGCCACAAAAGACAACACATCTATGATATTCCCCATATTTTATATATATATATATATTAACTTTATATAGCAATCAAAAAACAAAATCAGTTTCTCAGTTTTGACATCACAGGATCCCTTAGAGTAAGTTTTGGTACAGACATTCATCAAGAATGTAGTAATGTCTAAAAAAAAAGTTTTTATTGAAAAGTTAACATTACTGTGAAAAATAAGCCCCAACCATGTGTTTCGGTTGTGTTGTGCTACTTGTTCTCTAAAAGTGCATTTAAGTTAAAATTATGCTTACAGAACACACACACTTATGACATTTAGAATAAAATTATTAATAATTTAAAATAAAATAAATTTAAATGAAAAAATAGTTTATAAGACAAGTTTAACAATCATTTCTGCCCAGTTGTCCCACACCATCATCAGTGTTTTCATTCTCTGCATTAACTGGGGATCACTATTCTGCCATTTTGAATGAATTATATTTTCACTGCATTCTCATTTTCTGAGTGCTTGTGTAAGTAAGCAAATAGATTGGAATAACTATTGTAAAATATTCCAAAACAGACATTCTTATTCAGGCCCATTCCAAGCATAGCAGAGCAGCAGTGTAATGCCAGGAGGAACTTCTGCTGCAGTTTTGAAGAATACTTCCTCTGTTTTGTTCCTAAAGTAAAGTAGGTTGAAGTATTCATCAGCAAGAATGCTCATAGAATAATGTTTTACAATTAGATAAGAAGCCCCACTTTCATGGTTATTAAAGGGTTTGCTACACTTCAACCCCAGACCTGAAAATCTTTTAAAAGAAGAATAAACAGCAGCCTCGGAAATATTAGGAAAAAAAAATTTTCCTTTTGTGTATTTGTCAAATTGTTACACAGGCAAAAGCACCTACAGCAATCTACTGACTGTATAACCCATTGTATAATTATAAACCTGTTTTACCATCCAGAAAATAACAGGAATTCCAAGAAAATCACTGTAAAGGGGATCACTATACTGAGATCCCTTGCTGGGATTCTAAATTTTCTATAACACTCCAAATTCCAAAGAATACAGTCACTTAAAACAGGATATTTATACAGCTATTATAGGAACAGCATATATACAAAATCACTTCCTTAGCTATAAATCTATGGAACAGTAAACTGTAAAAACTGAAAGTGAAACCCAAAGCTCTAAGAGCCTCCCATGTCCCACACATATATTCTGCCACTCACCAAAACAGTTTTCAGTTCCACCATAAAGCTGACAAGATCTGGGCAGCTCTGCAGCCTCTGGAGGAAAGAGAGGATTAGTTAATTTTCTGCAACTCATAACTTCTGGTGGGTCAGCCCAACTCTTTTTCTGGTATTGTCAAACTAAACATAAAAACACCCAAGTGTACACCACATGTTTACATTTTTCAGTTACAGAAGAGAACTTCCAGGAAACTTTACAGGGAATTAAACATCTCCTGGCGTCACTCATTTATGCATTTATGAACCCACATCCATGAGATACAGTGTCTCAACCAACACCTTGCCAAAGGTTCCTCCTTGGAAACAAAGTATTCTTTGGGACTCAAAGGCTGCTGTATCCTCACTCCAAAGCTTCCTTTGGGTACTCAGGTGTAATTCAGACCCCAAGAATGAACTGAGTCTATTAAAAATTAAAGTGAATTCTCTCCTGCCCATTATGAACCACTTGTAAAAGAAGTAAATATGTTAAAAAAAGAAGACAAAATCTGTTTCTAATTGAGAGAGTAAAGAAAAATTCCAGTAAAATGTCATCAGTCATTTATTTAAAATTATTCTAGCCTGATCTCAAAAAAATAAAAGTTGAATAAAAGTAAACAGTCACTAAATTCCATCCATTTCTCATTATATTTACTTGCAAATCCTCATGCATTTAAAAATAAATCTTGGCTCTACAATGAAAGGGAGGCTCTTTAGCCCTTTTAGAATAGGTGTATGAGCACAAGCTTTTCAGAATCCTTATAAACAATTATTTAAGACTGTTTAATAATCATATTTAAATAAGTGGTTTTAAACTTGCATACCTGCTTTAAAATGTGCCGATATCCATGCAGGATCTTCTTCAGACGCCAGCTGCACTCTATCCTAGACAGAGTTTTGTACAAATTTTAAATTCACAGTACATGATTTTTAGAAGACAGCAGAAAGCCTTCCACACACAACAGTTTTTCTTGGAAAAAAAACAAAGGAAGGAAACAATACTTCAAAACTGCTTTGAGTTTTGTGTTCAAAGTTACTTAAAACTTCCAAATGTCACTATGCCAAAGCCCATTAAAAATTAAGCATCAACCTGCAAAAGCCCGTTCTGTGCTGAAAACAACAACATAATTCTTGCAAGCGAGTGTGACTTCATAAAATCCACTAATATTTAAAAGTGATAACCTGAAAATGTCAAAGTTACCTGTAATGCAGTTTTAATTACCCAACCTAGAGTGTAATAAAGCTATGGAATACCCCATCTGCTCCCAGTTTGGAGCTGGCTGGGCCAGGCAGAACCATGGAACACAAAGTTAAAGGCTCACCCATGTATGTGGATTAGCCCCTTTCATCCCACTTCCCACAGACTGCTGGGATAAACAGAAATAAGAACAGAGCTTTTAAGGAAAAGTTGGGTCATACCAATTAATACACAGAAACAGCAAACAGAAAAAGAAGCTTAAAAGCTCTGTTAACCACCATTGCTTAAATTGCTCACATAATTGCTTAAATTTACAACTTTGCACTGAATTTTCTGTTTCTGAAATGGTCACATATAAATGATCTATAAATATAAATGATATAAAAAATATAATTTCTCCCAAGTACATTGCTTCATGTATGTAAATACAACCAATTAATTACAACATGTTTCAAAGTTAATTAACAACAAAATATTTTGATATAGGCAATGCTTATTGTCAGCATTTATTAACACTGATGCTGTGCAATTTTGTTGCAAGGTTAAGATGAAACCAGTACGAATTATCCAGTGCAAATTAATTAATAACACTGATATTGAAACAAAATAATAACTCATTTTCATATCCATTATTGCTTTTATCAAAATTAACTTTGTTACATCACACTTAGAAATTGCTATCATAAAAGTCTCTTTCTTACCTGGCATTTTTCAGTTGCAAATCCACTGGTAGCAGTATCCTGATGTGGAAGTCTCTACCCTTGAAAAGAAGTATTTAGTTAATAGGAAGGTTAGAAAAGAAAAATATTAGACACTTGTGGGAATGATTCCCCATCAGATCAGCTACTAAGGAAAAAACTCTGTCTTTTTTGTCTTTCAGGAATATTATTCAGAATACCTTTCCTTAGGGATAAAAAGCAGCATGAGTGACAGGTACAAATAATGTTGGTTTTAATTCTGAGGTTGAAATACTCTTGACCTTTAATTCACAATATTCAGTAAAAACTCTTCAGTACATCACATTTCATAAAGCAAACATAACACCTTTCAGGAGAAAAATAAACATTATCCAAATCTGGACAAGACCAAAACACATAATTTAATCCAAGTCATGCTGCTGTACAAGAAAGTTTATCTTCAACTCGAGTAAAAGTCAAAGCAGGTGCTTATCTATGAAGTAACTACACTAAAAAGAACCTGGGCACTGATCCACAGCACATTTCATCAGAGTTTTATGAACTGTAAACAAAAACAGTCCCAAGTACATAAATTTAACTTTTTTTCTTGTTAGTGCAACCTACATGCAGCAGCTTCTAAATCCCCCCTACTTGTATTTGCAGTCCTTATTGAGGCCCTCCTCCTACTTTCTTATGGATGATCAAAATAAAACCGAAATAAAGAAAGTTGGTGAAGCCCCGAACTTATCTTAAAACTTTTATTCCAGACCCTATCCCAGCTCAGCACACCTTGAAGCTGGGAGTACTGGGTTCCCAGCACAAGCAAGGCATGGACACACTGGAATTAATCCAGGGAGGAACTCTGAAGGTGACCAAGAACTCAAAGTATCTCTCATGCCAGGAAAGCCTGAGGGAGCTTGGACTGTTTAGCCTGGAGAAAAGAGGGATCAGGGAAGGACTAAAGAAGGTACAGCCAGATCTGAGTGACACAAACTGACAGGCTAAGGTGACACAAATACAGAAAATATCACCTGAATGGAATGAAAAAACCCTCGTTTATAGATAAGGGGGGGATCAGAGACTGGAACAGGCCATCTAAGAGGTTGCACACTCTCAGTGCTTGGAGATGTTCACAGCCCGACCACAAATGGCCTAAAGCAACCTGCTTAAGGCAGAGGACCTCCAGAGGCTCCTTTCAGTCCCAATGACAGCTACGTTTTTGACAATGCTAGTGGACACAGCCCATTCTACTTAGAGGAATAAAGCCCCACGCTATTTCTAAATTAAAATACACCCGTTCAGAGCTCTGTGTGATATTTTAAGGAGCCACAGCGGCACAGTATCAGTGATGCAAAGCTGGGTTGGGAGCATCCTCCTCACCCTGCCTCAGGCGCTGTTCTGCCCCCCGCATCCCGAGGGACGATGCACCGCCTCAGCTGAAGCCTCACAAGTAAATAAAAGGAAAACATTCGCCATCAGTCATTTATGCCAACTTTTACCACAGGCCATGAACGCAGGCACATTCAGCCTTGCCCCGAAACCACTTTCGTCAGCACAGCTAACCCAGCCCAGAAGGCAGCGGGAAGCCTGGGCAAACCCGCGGGACGGCGGCGGGATCCCTCAGGGCAGGGAAACGGCATTGCCCGACTCACAGTCCCGGTGGCTCAGCCAGGAGCTCCGGCAGGGCGGGAAGCGCTTCCCCCTCAGAGCCGGCAGGGCGGGAAGCAACTCCCTCTCCGCCTCGGAGTAAAGTCCGCCGGCCAAGCGGCGCCCGGGCTGCGGTACCTGGGCAGTGATAAAGCCCTCGTAGGCGGTGCCGCGGCGGTCCTGCGGCAGCAGCAGCGGGCAGTGCCGGAGCAGAGCCCGNAGTGCGTCACTGAGGGGAGGAGCGCACCTGAGAGGAGAGAAGCCGAGGAGAGGAGCACACCTGAGAGGAGGGAGTACACCTGAGAGGAGGGTTGTGTCGCTTAGAGGAGTACAGCTAAGGGGGTTGGGGGGGGGGAAGAGTACCTGAGAGGTGAGATGCGTGTCACTGAGGGCAGCGCACCCGAGGAAAAGAGGACACCTGGGGGCCACACCTGAGGGGAGGGATGTGTCGCTGAAGGAAGCACACCTGAGGAGGGGAACACACCTGAGGGGAGGAACGCCCTCGAGGGATGAGGTGCGTGCCACTGAGGGGAGCGCACCTATGGAGAGGCGAACGTCTGAGGGGAGAAGCGCATGGCGCTGAGGGATGCGCACCCTCAGGGGAGGCCCGCGCGGTCCGAAGGCGGGAAACCCTGAGGGAGGGCCCCCGCGGCTTCCAGAGCTCCTGAGGGGCAGCTTCCATAGAACCCCGAGGAGCAGCTTCCAGAATCCCGAGGAGCAGCCCTGTCCTCTCTCACAGCAAGGAGGGGCTCCCGTTACTTTGAGAAGCGTCTTTTCCAGAGCGCTGAAGGATCACGGTTTCCCTAGAGCAGAGCCAGGGTTTCCAAGCTGTTTAGCACATCCTGAGGAGACTGGGTTAAGGACTAGCTGTTATATACGGGTAAATATTAAGTAAGGCTCATAAGTAGTCAGCTGGCTGTGTCATAGAGATTTTCGTGCCACCCAGGGCAAGGGGTTACTTGATTTATCCATTCTTTTCTAGGAGTCAATGTTTCATACCATAACACTTTGAGGATTGTAATAGTTCCTCTGCCCACTCACACAGGTGTTGGGATAAAAACCTTCCTTTCTTTTCTGGGTGGGTGGGTTGCTGCCAGGACCTGGCAGCCAAAGTATGTGGGAAAGCCTAAGGAGAGAAACTTAAAACTTTGGAGTTTTTTGTGTATGTTTCGGAAGGCATTAAAACTTTGTGTGTCACCAAGACTGAGCAACATGAAAAACAAAATTTCTGCCCAAGTAGGCATGCTTAAGAAAGAAAACATTGGGGTTTTTTTCCCCAATTTGATATATTGGAGCAAGGAAACACAGTTTTTTGAAGAGATAAGTGACTTACTACAGTCACATAAGAGGTGTGTGGCACAAGCAACTCTACCTGTGGGACAGGAGGTGGGTTGAAAGAGAAGTGAAGAAAACCACACAAATGTTCACACCTGCAACTAAATCCTGTTCCCTTAGCCTGGGAGACCCATTCAGGGATTGCATCAAAGTAGAGGAGTCAAAAGCAGTGAAATCCTTTGCAGCTTTATGTTGTTGTAGAGGCTATTGGAAATATAATATAGAATGCACTAGGAGGCAATAGACAGGTGAAAGAATCTCAAGATTTGATGTGTAAACTCATCATAGTAAGATTTCCAGAAATATGTGATACTAAATATGTATTCTCACCACTGTTTACCTTTTTTTATATACCTTGGAAGGATCGTAATTTCCACACTTTCAGGAAACTATCAGTGTATCTGAAAAAGAAAGAATCAGTTCCATGCAATAATGTTGCTTTACTCACCAGTTTGTGCTCCAGAAAACCTTGGACAATGCAAGTTTGTTACCAATACAAGAAACATTTTCTAAACATCTGCACGATCAAGTTCGGCCCTTTTGTATTTTGCTCCCCTGGAGCTGTTCCTGTGCCTTTCACTACCCAGCGTGGCTCACCATGAGCAGTTCATCCAATGTTTCATAGCAATTTGTATCCCTCGTGTTATCTATTAATTTAATTTTGACCAAAACATTTCTCCTCTTGAGCTGTTTTCGCTCAGTATGCATTGCACTAGAAATTACCTTATTTAATTGTGAAGTAGCTCTGTACTTTACCAGGTCCACTGATTATTTCTTAATTGCATCAAGTGCAAAATTGAAGGCAGGGGTTTTTTTCTTCTTTTTTTGGCCATGATTATCTGAGCCTCTGGCATTTAAAAAATGTCAAGTCCCTTTAGCCAAGTGCATTTATAGAGTAATGCATCTAAATAAAAATACCATAAGATCAGAAGCATTAAATATTCTACTACTGGGGTCCAGAAAACATTAATCATTATCTTACACTGCATATACTGCACACTTTTAAACTTTGTAAAAAAAATGCAATTACTTGAAGCATCATGTTACTTTGATCTGGCACACAGACCAATGTTTTTAAAACAGAAAAATTGAAAAACAAGATCAGTGAGAAGTTGGACAGTTCTGCTCCTCATGGGAAAAGAGCACTGATCTGATCTTTCAGCCACAGGCCACATATACCAATTTAATTACAATTATTGTTTGCCAGAAGAATCATAATGGAGTACATTATTAATTACTTGTCCATTCAAATATCATATTCAGCCATTTAAGCTATCTATAAAATCGTGGCTCTGGTGGCAAAAAAAGGAATGCACAGAGCAAACACTTGAAAGCACCAATTTATGGGCTAAATTTTGTTAGTTAAGTTATCCCACAACAGTCAGAAAGAAAATGCATTCAGCAGTCAGAATGCACATAGAACCACATTGAAATAATGTGGATGTTTTAAGAGCTGATTTTTTTATTATTATTTATTTAAGGATGTTATGAAAGGCAAGAAAATAACAGTGCATTGTTCTCCAGCATTAGTGTCTCCAACAAAAAACAATCCATTTAAACCCATGCAAAATGGCTAATACTGTTATTGCTGTCCTTTTTCATAACTCAGTGTCATTTTATTCATCTCACCCCTAAGAAATGACCTTTTCTGTGCACATCCCCACCTTTTCCCACAAATCCCCTGAGTGACAGAATCTCATCCTAATCCCATTTCCATTTAGATGTTACAGGAAAGCATTGTAGACCTTGGAGGCAATAAGTAATCATAATGGAAAGATAATAATATGTTTATGAAATCTGGATTTTAGAATAGCAAATTGAAAAATTACAATAGTATTTCAAGCCACTGAAGGTCAATGTTAGTAAGAGCAAAAAGCCATCGATCAAGTGTTCTCAAACTTTTCTAGTTTAGACTATTTTTTGATACAAAGCATCTCTATTTCAGAGAGCAGCACCTCTCTCCTGAGGTGATGTCTCATCTACCTAGCAGTCACACAATCTGGTGTTTTAAACAGTATTTAGTATGTTTTCCTACAAAGAACTATTTTTCTAGTGCGGCTTTATTTTTTTTAAGCAGACCTAAAAAAAAACCAGCTAACAACTTTCCAGGCCTCTCCAAAGTCCACTATAGACCCCAGTTTAAAAATTCCAGCTCTTATTAATTCTTAAAGGTAAAACAATATGTAAGAACTCATGACTAAATATACCAAAATACTACTTTGAATATTGCGTAGTTGTAGATTTTTTAAAAGAAGGTAAATTTGCTTCCTTGTACCTAAAAGCTACAGAGTTGTACATACAGAAGACCGCTGAAACTTAACTGAGGTCCTAGACAAAAGAAGAAAAAATAACACTCCAGCCTTGTCCTCAACTAGTTAAGGAGCTTTCTTCTCTTGAGTTTCAATCTTCCACTGTTTTGAATGCTCTTGGCATTCCTGGCCCTGCAGCCTCTTCTCCCTTCTGCCTGCTCTGGTTCCCTCGGGAATGGGCCGGTTTGGTCACTGACCAAAAAGCTAATGTGTTTTTATAAAATTCTTTTTAGATGGCCAGTTTGCTGAAGCTGTGGCAGAGCACTAGAGATGACATGAAGAGAGTATCAGGAGGGCACATCCACAAGCCAAACCACCCTTTTTTGGAAGCAAGATGTTAGATCAGACAGTGGAAGAGAGCACAGGTGAGAACCACCAGGCTTCCCCTTCTATCACCATCCTCACAGGCCACAACCTCTTACTGGCAGAGTTTCTACAGACACCACTTCCTTTGCTTATGCCTGGAGTGATAGGACAAGGGAGAATGGCTTCAGAGTGAGACAGAGGAGGATTGGATTAGGTGTTAGGAAGAATTTTTTCCCTGTGAGGGTGGCGAGGCCCAGGCACAGGTTGCCCAGAGAAGCCGTGGCTGCCCCACCCCTGGAATTGTTCAAGGCCAGGTTGGGCAAGGCTTGGAACAAGCTGAGATAGTGGAAGGTGTGCCTACTCATGACAGGTTTTGGAACTAGATGGTATTTAAGGTCCCTTCCAACCCAAACTACTCTGTGATCCTATTTGCATAGAGCTGTCTTACATTCTACTTTTATTTCTGGCTATTTTAAAACATTTTTCATCATTTTTTTCATCATTAGCAGCTCACAAGCTCAGAGATTCTGGACACCTCCCTCATAGCACCTCAGTACAATGCAGTACAGCTGTTCACAGAAGTGTCTAAGCAGCAAACCCCTCTGTTTTGATGATTCTGAATGCAATTATTCTTCTGTATTTAAAGATCTTTAATATCATATCCAAACCAAGAGCAGTGATTGATCTATTAACAGTATAAAATGATTAAGTAAGCATTGGCTATTTTAAAAATGTCTTGGGACTAGAGGGCTCTCAAAGCTCGTGTTCATCTTTGTATATATAGGCAAAGTCTTGGCACTCTTTTTGGCAGATGACCCAGCAAAATGACTGATGTATGAACATTAATGCATTCACATAAATTAACTCTGCACATAAAAAACACAGAGCCTTTAAGCCCAATTACATCTTCCCCAATTGTACAAATACTCCCTTTGCAGTCAGTGGCAGCTCAGGAAGATGAGGCCAATCCATATGTTATATTGATTCTAAAGGCACAAGAGTATGCAGTTAATCCCTTTCAAACCTTGCAGAGCACAGGCTCTTGGAGATCTTCCAGGCAGCCAGATGAAAGTTGCCTTTCAGAACCAGGGGCTGTGTGTTGTTAGAGATTCCAAAACATGCTGGGCCAAAATCTGGACTTGCTTTTACCAGTGTAAAATGGGACTGTTCCAGCAGATATCTGTATATGTGCACTGATATATTTTATCTTGCAAAAAAGTGTGTAATACTAATGTGCTTCCCTCTTAATGTCCAAGAAAAGCAAAGATCAACAAATGAAAATGTTTTCTTCCAGCTAGAAGTTTTATAACATCTAAAACATGTCAGATGGTTTATGATAGTTTTTAGGGTCTTTTGTGCTGCTAATAAATTTTACCTATTTGAAGATGATTCAGATATCAGAGTAAGGATTGATGTGCAAATCTTCCCAGGTAGGTCAAAAAAGGTAGGTAGAAAATTACAAACCCACACATGAATCTCCTGTAGAGATATGGCTTGAAGCATCCAGAAGAGTCATTACAGATGAGAAACACCTTTCTGTAAAGCCAAAGGTGGAACACCTTTAGATGCATCCACACTGCATTTCTGTCCATCAGCAACTGCCAAATCTGAATATTTTGAACTTCTGGTGTTTCACCTGGGTGTTGGCACTGCCTGTTTGTGGGATTTTCTGACTACAATACACAAAATACAATCCCATCTTTCCAGCATAGCTCAGAATCCAGGCTAACACCCAGAATCCAGTGCAGAATCCTCAGATTTTACAGTGTAGCCGGATCATACAAGTAACACTGAAGTTGAAATGAGCTAGTTTACAAAATAAATATATCTGTATGGTGTTGAAGTACATTGTTATGGCTAAGTTACAACCCTAGTACCCATTTTAAGTCAATGTTGTCTAGCAAAATAAAATTAAATTCCTATGATACAAAATAAGGGAAGTCATTAAGACAGAATTGTATCACCAAGCAGCAGTTTCAAGGTTCCTTCAGCACACTTTTGAAAACTTGCATAATAAAAACTAATTTTGAAGCAAAACTAAATATGTTCTTTCATAAATGTCACAGCGAAATAAGCATGCAAACCAAAAAGGACTTAAGAAGTCACAGAAAAAACCCAGCCATTTTCCACAAATAGCAGTTGATAAATTGGAGCAAATCCATTATTTGGTCTTGGAAACAATGGAGATAAAATTTTAAATTTAGACAGAACAATAAGTATTATGTGATCATTGGCTTAAAATTTCATTGTAGATGTACCTTATGAAGAAATCTGCCGTTTGTCTAGATCAGTCTGCGAGCCAGAAGATGCAACTCCAGGGATTTTTCACTAAGCAAAAAGTTTACATTATAGCACTTTATTCCATTTAACTTTATAACAGTTTTAAGCAAATGCCTAAGAGGAGCACAGACCATAAGAGTAGAGAATACTGTGCAGAAATTAGAAATAAAAGAGGAAAATGCATAATGTATGATGTAAAAAGAAACAGATAACGAAAATTAAAAGGATTTTACTAGAGGAAAACAATTTCATTTTATTGTAAAGCTCTAAATGAATAAAATAAAGTCTTTGAATGTGAAGATGATTAAAAAGACAAAATCATTAGCTAAAGATATTTACAAGTTTAGACTTTCATTTTGATTGTAATTTTAATTAGCTGGACACTAGGGGGGATGAAAATGAAAGCCTACATCATCTACTTACTCTTTAAATTGCATTCCACCTTAATTTTCTGCTCTTCAGTTCTTAATTTTCTCTATTTTTGTTCTAACTAATCCGGTTATCAGAATAAAGTGATTTTCTCTCAGCCAGGTTTAACATTCAGTTTCTGAGTCTGTGAACCAAAAGTTCATCCCACTGCTTCAATTTTTATTCTTTCAATAGCAGTAACTCTCCAGGAAACTTTTCCAGTCTTTTGTCTGTGCAGCAGGGTGCTTTATGTACACACGACAGTTATGCAGCTAATAACAAAGGATTCTATTTTAAAAATAATTATGTTCCATTTACACAGTTTCCCATGAAATTTACTCATAAAATGCAGGATGCACCAAAAGATTAAATGCCATTTTCCTGTTCATTAAAATAATTTTTCTAAATGTAACCCAGTTACTTGCCTTTTTGTTTTGAAGGAACCACATGCCCAAGCAGCAGTCAGAGACAGTTTATTCTTAAATAAAAGAACTAATTCCCTTTGGGATGTCTCTGTAGTGTGCACAGTTAACTTCCAGATTTATGCCCATGTCTCAGGCCATGGGCAGACAGACAGACACCCCTTTTAATGAAAAGCCTGATTGTGGAAAGGGTGTTAAGGTGACATCAACACATTGGGGATTTCATCTGCACTGACCATGGAAGGTGTTCTGTAAAAGGGAGCAAAAGCTGGTTTTCAGCCCTTAACCTTGCCAGGTTAGCTGGTTTGGGCTAAAAGTATCTACCCTACAACTGACGTGTTCTCTTAAAGGTCAGCAGGAGAGCTCGTATTAACTCAGTACATCCTTGTTCCTTTCTGAATAATTTCTTTTAGGAGAAATTCAGTCCTAAAAGAAGTCGTATATACCATTCTTATACTAGCTGGATAAAACTCAGCAAGATAAAAACTTGACAAGATAATTTTCTCTTTGTTTCAAGCAAGTGGTTCACAGGCCTTGCCATGTCTTCTTCTAAAGAACAGTGAGGATTCACTCAGGGCCTCTTTGTAAGAGCTTCCACTGAGAGAATAAACAATCTTCAGCAAAGCCTACAAATAGCTCTCTCTACCTGGGAGTTCTTCTCATGTTAGTGCCATTTTAGTTTAGATCAGCATTGTGCTTTTGAAGTGAATCTTTGATTGTCCTGATGTTCTGTGCTTTGATTCACATCATGATGTGGTATTGAACCACATGAACCAAATTCCTTTTGGATTAAACTCAAGTGGAAAATGCTGAAATGCATCTAATTCACTCCATCTGCAAATGTCCAGTCAGCCTCTTAAACCCAGCTACAGCTTTTTTTTTCTTTTTTTTAACTTTAAAAAATTTTTAAAAATTAAAAAGTGCCATAGATACCACACCCTCATCACACATTTATTTTAAATTCACATTCTTCCTGCTCTGCTAATGCAGATGGAAGTTTAAGGATAATCTACTTCAAATTCAGCACTTTTCTATTTGCAGTTTTACTTCTCTCTCTTTTATGGAAGTTGATGTTCATCATCTAGTCACTCTCTCCCAACTAATTCTAATAGGTTCAGAACTCTGTCAAGATACAGTTGTCTGTTCTCTGGGCAGAACAGCCAATTGCAAATGTTTTATTTAAAACCAAAGGTCCAATTACAGGACCAATTTATGATCTCAGTCGAGCCAATATAAATCTGATCTAGTTCATTGACTTTAACCTGACTGCAGTAACTTTATTCCAGATTTGCTCATGTGTAATGAAATTGAGTTCAGACAATGGCTCTGATTATTACTTTTTAAAGAATTAACTAATAATATAAGTTGCAATACAGAGTCCTTCCACCTTAGGAACAGGGCTTCATAATTATCACTTGTGGGTCAAAAGCATATATCCAGTACAACATTGCTTCAAGGACCAAATGCTTTAAAGATTTTGCTTAAGAAAGCACAAGGTGGGCATGGCAAGACATGAGGATTTCAGCAGCACCATTTGAAAATAAGGACATTGTGATTTTTTTTTTCTCCTGTTCATTCTCTTATAGAAACATAGTAGTTTTCTAATGCATCATTAAATATTTGGTAGAAATCTGTATGCAGTTCGGGTTTCTTTAAAGACAGAGGAAAAAAAAAATTACTCTCATTTTTTGGCCACTCTGCACCATGTGGTTAAAATACCCAAGTAGGCACATATGGCTTCCATAATGCACAGTATTGCATAGTCATTTTCCAAATCAGAACTCAAAGTATGTCTTCAAGTTTTAGGTGTAGACTCCCCCTCAGATATTTAGCACTTATACCTTCTTTTCTCTGTTTTCTTGTTATTTAACTTCCTGGAATTTCCTTTAACAATCACACACAACTTAAAGATTTTTATTCAGTTCAGGGTTTTGATTTTAGTGCTTTTTTGTTTGGTTAGTTTTTTTAAATTTTATGCAGTGGAGTAGTTTCAATTTCCCTATTTCCTAGGGGAAGCAAAAAAGCAAAAAACTTTAAAGACAAGACAAACTCTGTCAAAGGAAGAATATGGCAGTGATACTCTTTGGGGCTTTCCTAGTCAGTCTAGTACCCTGGTTTCTGTGACAGCTACTTGTGAATTGAGAATAAAGGAATAAATATTCCCCTTTTTTGACTTTACTAGCTTAGACTAAGAGGGAACAGAGACAGAAACTGCTGACTGCAAGAGCTGTGGATAAAGCACATAGGGACTGAACACAGGGTCAAACCAGGATTCAGCTGCTTATACTCAAATGACACTATATGCCATACACTAGATATATAATATTAAATATACATTACAAATACACATGTTGGAGCTAAAAGTGAAACACTTGACACTGGCAAAATTGTCCTACCTGATAATCAGAACATGCCATAGCCTGGCATAACTATCAATTTCTGAGCTTATGCTGGCCCTGGGCTTAAGGCTGTCTTTGAGTGCTTGAAATTAGTTTCAGGTGCAGTAATCACAGAAAGAAAACATGTGCAGGGACATAACTTTTTAAAGAAACAACAAAACTGAAACAGGTTTAGAGAATTATCCATCAAATTACATTTTTAAGAGTGGCTATTAAAATGTTGATGAAAGAATATAAGATGATGAGTCAGGGACACTAAAAGACCAAACACATGGTTCTACAAGATATTACACTGAGCAGTAAGAATTTCACTTTATAACCCAAAGTGATTAAACAGCATACTGCTGAAAATGCAGATGTTATACTACTACAGTAAAAAAAAAATAAAGAAAAGTTTTTTAAAGATTTTTCTAATTAAATCATGAAAGATCACAAAGAAAATAGAGAGGAACTTTGCTAAGACTGCAGTCATATAGAAGGACTAGGATTTAGGGCTGGTCTTTGAAGTTTTCTTTTTCAAACTACATGGCTGTGAAGCTATTGAAAGCTTGAAAGATTTTTCTGGTGAAACCCTGCAATGTTAGAGTTATGTTGCACTACTCAATAATATGTGTGAGCTGTTTGTAAGGAAGGATTATTTTAAAGGAAAATCTGTTTTCATATTGACCTTGGATTCATATTTTTAAGGCAGCTAAAGCAAAGGCAACATTACCAGCAGTGAAAATTCCTGCCAGGAATGTAACATTCAAATCTCAGTTAACATATTTTAATATGGCAGTGATAGTGATAGAAAAAAGCACAATAATTCACTGATTTTTTCAAAACAGAAGTGTTAATATACAATAATTTGTATAATATCTAGTCCTTTCAGCAAGAAGAGCAGGATTTGTCAAAATATCATTTGCATATGGGATATTTTTATTTTAATGTAATCCTGATTTCTTAGGCATTATACAAGAGACTTTCTGAAGTAAAAGAAGTTGGAGCATTCTGTAACGTTTTTTAGGGTTACATGCACATGTCAGTAAATATTCAAATAGTCCATATTTGAACATGGTTGAGATTGCAAACCATGCTTAATCTTAAAACATTCCAGTACTTGCAGAATTGTGTCTTCTGTATTCCAAAGGTTTTCCTTCTGCCATTCAACCTACTGCCATTATGTATTGTTTGAAGGAAGTGCTGAACCATAAGAAGTCATGGATGAATATGTTCAAGTATTCTATGCACACACTTAGATCTGTTTGTACAGGGTCAAGTCTAGCTTTCTGTCACTATTTTCTTCTGTATAACCAAATTCCTTCAGGCTGAACAAAAAGTGCATTTCTGTTGAGTCTAATCTTCTTTCCCCTACAGAAATTCCACATTCTGATTTGGGAGCTGAACTTCCTCACTACCCAGCAGGTGAGTAGTAATTACTTGATTCCATGCTGTCCATACCCTTCAAAGTCCTCAACAAGATACTCTAAAGATCAGATGTGGATAGAATTGTGAAAAATGTTAATTCTTGCAAACCTCTTCTGAAAAGAGCTGAAGGAATAAATTCCTTATAGAATTAGCCTTGCCAGGCTTCTTGGCTGATAGCCCAAACTGAAAGCTCTCTTGTGTTTGGGAGTCTAAATGTGATCCCTTCACCTCCTGTTCTTGGGAACCACTGTAGGTTGTTCTCTTTATTCCAGTCTTCCTTATCTCTGAAGCTCTTGTAAGTTTGTTTGTTGTTTCTGCACAGTGACCATACTATTAACCCAGGCAGAAGTATCTAAATTAACTCCAAATGATTGAGCCATCTGGAGAAGTTTAGTTTATATTTAACTCCAAGAGTTAATTGGGTTTTACGTGGCAGAGCTGCTTGAGAAAGCTCATTGGGACCTATAGCAATGTGATGTAGATTTAATGCACCCCTATGCATTAAAGCCTCCATCAGACTCATTACCTGTGGTTTGTACATCCATTTTGGTAGATAAATTTGTTTAATCATATGCATTTGCAGTGGGCTGTTATAGCTAAGTGTGCTTCCTTTTCCACTGCTTGTAACTTTAGCCAGTGGCATCTCCTCCAAGAAAGAACACTTTGGCTTCATCCCCACAACATTTTAATTGCTCACTAAATGAATCATGTTTAGTATCTGAGCATTGGGTGGCTGTTAGTTTCTCTGCATATATTTACCACTGTGGCATTTCACACAATTTGCAAAACTATTGCTTCTTCTAATATCATAAACTATTTCTGAATTCCTTACTTATGATCCTTTAGAGACTGCAAGTGTAATGCAGTCTTTCCCCATATCTTTTCATTCTGAAATATTTTTTAAAATGTTTAGTCTTGAATTTTGTCTTAATTGAGGGAAACTGGTTTTTTTTTTTTACTGACTTGCATTTCAGTTATTTTTCAACGCTTCCTATTTCATTTTAGAAATACTTTTATTATCAGTGTAAATATTCACTGCTTTTGTTACACCCAAATTACTTGATACATAATAATATTGCAAAATTTACAGCAAGACATGCACCCTCCAAACAGTTACATGGAACTCAAAATGTAGCAGATTTAAAAGAAATATTTTATGAGATTTGTTTTATACTTATCTAGACTGTATTTATTTAAAATTTTGCTGTAAAAATGTTTTTATAATTGTTTTAAGGGGAAAATATCGACAATTATTCTTAAAAACTATCTCTAGTTTTTTTATATAGAAGGAATGATATTTTTTATAGAAAAATAGACAAATCATAAAAGGATATTGTCTTTCTCACAATACTTCTAAGGCTCAATTAAAAAACAAAGCCTGAATGAAATTGTTTTAGGCCTGCCTTCTGAATGTTTCATGCATAGGATTTTCCCATCTCAAACATTCTGCATTGTCACATGTATGTTTAAAATATCCCTTCGTGGTCTTTCCATGCTACTACTTTAAAAAGGAAATATTACTACTCCAATAAATTCAGGGGGAAAGATAAATATTTATTTGACTTTTTTTTTCCCTAACTGCCCAGCAATTTCTGGCTGCAGTGAAATATGGGATAGGTTTGAAATCCTCTGGGTTTATGGCATGCAACAGTGTACATGATTTCTCTTTCTTTTCTCTTACTGTTTTACTGTTCCTCTCCCAGGAAAATCTGGGAGTGCTTCAACTGCTCCCAGGGTTGCAAGATTCCTTCCAGCATGAGGAACAAAGCTAAGTTCATATTCTCTACTTTTGTCATGATCCCATTTACTTATGATACTTTATGATTAAGACAAGAGGGTTTTCAATTAGAAAAAGTTCTCCCCAAAACCAATTTTCTGCTCCCATTCAAAAGCAGAGATCAAGGTCATGACAGTCTATGCTCCTCTCACATCTCAGCATGTTCTGGCTCACATGGCTCCTCAACAAAATTCTGGAGCTGATACACCTAAAGAAGGCATTTCTTCCCTGTTTTTGAGACAACCCAAAACAGAATCTCCAGCCATTTAAATGGAAATTAAATGGAAAAATTAAATGTGCTCAATATACATCATCCTAAAAATTAGGTGTTTAAAACACCTAATATTTTAAATCTATGGCAAATTTCAAGAACATTTTTACTGTCCTCCCTACATTACCTCACTTGGATCACTTGTCTTTCAAAAGACTAGTAAACCTTAATTTGCTTTAGCAGCTTTGAATGGATTTTTATTGTTTCTTACCACAGCCTTTCAACTCTAGTAATTTGAAAACTAAATATGAACTGCAAAACTCAATCAATCTTGTAGTATTCTTTTAATATCAATTTCTGTATAATTAGCCCCCAAACTGTGTTCAATTACTGACAATTATTCTCATGCACTTTGAGGGACAACACTAATTTCACAGTTAGCAGAATTTAAAAGGAAGGTGACTCAAACACTGTATAAAAAAGTCCCTCTCTCAAGAGCTACAGAGCATTGTTGCAGACTTTGTGAGATAAGAAGGATTCCAGTGGTACAATATCAGAACTCAGATTTTACAATCCCACATGTGTGTGTGTGATTCTATCTGGCAGGTAGTTTGTGTCAGTATTCTTTAAATGCTAACTAAGCTTATTATAACTTTGGCTGTGTCCTTTTAAAACCAATAAAATTATGGAAAAATCCATAGAAATTGATGTACCAGATTAAGACTAATGATTCAAGTGATGTAATCAGGATTTCTTACATCCATATTTTTTTTCTTGGGTTGTCTTACAACAGATTTGAAGCATCTCTCTTGTAACTGTTACACAGTGCCTTCCTTCACATTATAAAAATCATGTTTTATGACCTTCAGCCCATTTTGTGCCCCTATCCTATAAGAATACAGGTGGAAGGGATTGGTGATGTCATGATGGTTCTATGGTAATCATGTACAGCTCCTGTTCCAGTGAGGTCACTGCAACTATCAGTCACTTTTTAGGGACAAATTATTTTTGTTATATCCATTTTGTTGCTGGGCTCTGATGTATCTTGTGACAGCTGGAAATTCTATTTATTTATGTGCATATTTAAAAGGCTATCAATAGAGCCCAGAGCATTGACTGGGTACTCATAATACAGAGTAGTAAATATCCAAATAAAGAAATAAATCAAATGACACCTTCTTCAAATGAGAGTTACAAAATGGACCTAACAAATATTGATAGGGAGCAGTCTTCAGAAGATCTTCTAAATTATCTTGTAAGTCCTATGAAGATTAAGCAGAGGAGACAAGGAAACAGAAGAGTTATTGTCAAAACAGCACACAGACACTTAACAACAAAAATAACAACCTTCTGTTGGTAAATGACAGCCAATCTTGGCTCTAGTGTATATCTCAATGATCCAAAGGAAAGTTATGTGATAAACAAAATTGTGTGCATTGTAATTTCCAAACACACTGAATGGCTGAAGAATAAAGACCAGTAACTAAATTCATGCAAAGGATAAGTAAAATGTTTTTATGCTTTAAAAGTAAATTTTGGGTAGAATCCTGCAAACACCAAGAAGTGTGTTGGTTTGTTGTTAAGATTTCATTCTTTATAGAAGGCTCTAATTTCAAGTGAAATGCTGATTCAAACCTTTAGATTCA